CGTGGCGTTGATGCTGATGGGTACAGCTGCGAACTGGCAGCTGCTGCTGCTGCTTCCGGACGCAGTGCTGGCTGGCTGAGTTTGCTGCTGCTGCTGCTGCAGTTTGCTGCTGCTGCTGCTGCTGCTGCTGCTGCTGCTGCAGTTTGCTGTTGTCTGTGCTGTGTCTGCTGCAGAAGGCGCTCGACTGCCAGCGCGAGCAAACGGCGTGGGGGGCCCGTGTCAGTGCCATGCTGCTGCAGGTACTTGCTGCTGCTGCTGCTGCTGCTGCTGCAGCTGTTGCTGCTGCTGCTGCTCGTGCTGCTGCTGTCGCTGCTGCTCATTTTGTTGCTGTCTCTGGTGCTGCTGCTGCTGCTGTCGTTGCTGCTGCTGCTGTGGCAGAGACGGGTCGGATAGAATTTTGTTTACATTGTTCTGTTGCTGCTGCTGCTGCTGCTGCTGCTGCTGCTGCTGCTGTGTCTGCTGTTTGCTGCAGGAGGTGTACGAGACGCTGAAGGCCGTCGAGAGGCTCTGGCGGCGGCTGCAGCAACTTTGCTGACGTCCAGCAGCAGCAGCAGCAGCAGCAGCAGCAGCGGCAGCAGCGGCAGCATCAGCAGCAGCAGCAGCAGCAGCAGCAGCAGATGCAGCAGCAGCCATCGTTGCTTTGGTTGGCCGTGGCAGGCTGATACCGCAGCGCAGCAACTGCAGCAGCAGCAGCAGCAACAGCTGTTGCTGCTGCAGAAGCATAGATAGCAGCAGCGAATGCTGCCGCTAATGTAGCAGCAGCAAAAGCAGCAGCTGCAGCAGCAGCAGCAGGAGATCCCTGCTGCTGCTGCTGCTGCTGCTGCAACAGGTAGATATGCTAGATACTTTGTTTGCTCTGGGGTGTACATACACCTCAACAGCTGCCTATACACCCCAGCGGTGTTAACATAGAAATCGTTTAGTGTATGCAGCAGCAGCAGCAGCAACAGCAGCAGCAGCAGCAGCAGAAGTAGCAGCAGCAGCAGCAGCAGCAGTGGTAGTAGCAGCAGCAGCAGCAGCAGCAGTAGTAGTAGCAGTAGCAGCAATGAGGGAAGTTCCTCCGTCACTGCAGCAGAAGCAATACGTACAGAGCAGCAGCAGCAGCAGCAGCAGCTGCTGCTGCTGCTGCAGTTGCTGCTGCAGCTGCAGTAGCAACAGCAGCATGCAGTTTCACAGTTGCCTAGTAGCCCTAGAGACCTCCCTGCAACAGCAGCAGCAGCAACAGTTCCTCTGCTGTTGGTGCAGCAGCAGCAAGAGCAGCAGCAAGCGCAGAAGCTGCAGCAGCAGCAGCAGCAGCAGCAGCAGCAGCAGCAAGATCAGCAGCAACCAACAGGAAATTCAGAGAACGCGCGTTTTCATTTTCGCTTTGGAAGATAAAAACTCGCGGCGTTGCTGCTGCCGCTGCTGCTGCTGCAGCGCGAGCAGCAGCAACAGCAAAGGAGAGGACTGTCTCTCTCGCTGTAAGGGGCC